CCACTGCATGGCATCTCTCTTAAAGAAAAATTATAAAGCCTCAAGAAGTTAAATAATGTATAATACATAAATAGATGGAACATAATAGAATGTCCATAAATAGAGTCCTACACATTCAGGATTTACCTTGACTAAAACTATAAGAAAAATTTTAGTACGTGGTATTGGGATGTTATACTTCACACTTAATATGCCAGGATAAACAGAGGAAAAACTTTAGATGTAAGTGATGAAAGTGTATCTCGGATCTAAAAAATGGAAAAAAAAAATCCTTTATTATAAAATGAATTGCTATAGCTGATTCCAAATTCAGAAATCATAAGTATGCTAAATGGCATATAAAACACTATAACATTGTTTAAAAATAGATATGAGAAAATGGGTGAAATATTTGCAATTCAGACAAAATCATCTTAGAAAATGGTAAGATGTATCAACACCAAATAGAAAGCTAAGTAAAGCATATGTAAAGATAATCCATGAAAAAGAAAATACAAGAGGCTCTGAACTGAATGACAAAATACTGAACCTTGCTCATGAGAGAAATGCAAATTACACTGATTATCTTCTTTTTTTCTCATCAGATTGGCAAAAACCCAAATATTTAATTAACAAGCTTGGTTATAAATCAGCAGGCACTCTCATTCACTGTTGGTGGTAATGCAAATTGGTACAACCTCCATAAAAGGCAATTTGGAAGCATTTATCAAAGTTACAAATGCTAATACCCTTTGACCAGCAATTTAGCTGCTGGAAGTTTATTCTATGATTTGTGCACAGGTACAAAATGATTAATGTACAAAATGACTCATTAGAGCATGATTTGTAATAGCTGCAAAAGTTAGAGACAACCCCCAATCCATCAGTGGGCAACTAGTTAAATAGTCTAAAAATGGAAATTTTTTAAAAAATAAAGAATCTCTATATTATTGATATGAAAATACCCCCAAAGGTCTTTGTGGAGAATAGTACCTGTGCTATGGCCTTTGTGGAAGAAGGGGAAGTAGGTTTATTCATGTGTTCTTCTGTGGAGCAACTTTGGAGGAATAGGAATCTCTGTGGATGAGCATGTGGGGCAATATTAAAACAAGGGTGGAGACTGAGTGGACAGAGGTTAGAAATGACATCACGGCTTCTTACCATATACTTTCTAAGTAAGTAAGCATTCTCAATCATTATTTTACCTGTTCGTTGCGTTAACAAGATACCTGAGGCAGAATGACTTTATTGAGACAGAAGGTTTATTCAGTAAACAGGTTTGGACATTCACAGGCACGCTCCTGGAACTGGCTCAGCTCTGGCTCACTCTCCTTGTGGCATCACATCACGGCAGAGGCGCCCTGTGAGGAAGCATCACAGCCAGAAACGGGATCAGAGATCTGGGCAGGGCCGGCTCAGGGTCTCAGGAGAAACACCTGATTCTTTTGGAGTTTGTGCCCTCAGTTGACTGAAGGAACACCCAAGTGCCTCACCCTCTTAAAAGTTCCACCTGATCTTGCACCACCACCACCCTGGGAACCAAGCTCTCAGTCTATGCACCTCTGAGGGGAAACAAACATAACCCACACCACAGCACATACAAATATATCATCACCTGAGAAACTCACCTGTGAAATGCTATCTTAACATGTCACTGAACATGAGATGCATGGTCATGTATTAGTTGTTGCAGTGCTATGCACACAAGCACTACAACACAACCATCCCTAAAGACCAGTAAAATTTTAACAGTCCCTGTGGTTAGTATAAATGGTTACATTAATCCTGGTCAAATCCCTCAGTCTAACTTGAAGCAAAGAAAATATTCTAGCATTTCTTTTCCCTTGTGAAGCTATGTTCAAATTCTCCCATCCTTCATTTACACTATATCCCTTTTACCATAGCCTCCTTTTGTTCCTTTATACCATGATGCCTATCCTATGAGCATGGTCTTAGCAGATCAGTTGACCCCACATCACCAGCTGTCTACCTAACCCTAGACCAAGCACCTCAGTTTCCTCATCTATAAAATTGAGAAAATCCAAGCTTCAGAAATGTGCTGTGAGGATTTAGTGAGTGGCTGCACAGAGGGCTGCTGGACTGGCAGGAACAGTTTTGGAAATAGTAAGCCTATTTTCAATGCATTCACTATGAAGACTTGCCAGTGTCCCAACTTTGAGTTCTGAACTCTGGTATGCTTTGGTGGATATCCTGGTTACTAATCTTGTACAAGAGCTCTAGGGTGAAATATTATCTTCATTCAGTTCTATTAGCAATCATACCAGTTGTACCTTTTCTATTTAAGCATTCAATCATGAATTTATGCTAATTTCCTTCCTTTCAATTAAAATTCCTGATTAAAAACAGTCTATTAATAATCTTTCACTTTAATTCAAATATACTGCTCCTTGTTTAGTACCTTCATACCAAACATTGAAGTCTAATTTACATCAATACTATGCTTAGAATTAACTCACAATCTTACTCACAAAGTCTCAGTTATTATCATCAATATATTGCAAATGATTTATTATATTTATGTAACCTTTATTTTAGTTGTAAGAAACATCCTTTATAGTGTTAATAATCCACATTATTAGAAATGAAATTAATATTAGCTACATGATTTGGGTATACTATTCTAATAAATGTTAAAGGATAAAGAGAAGTTAACATACTGCTCAGATATAATTTTCAAATATTAGACAAGATTAGAGAGATAGGATCGACTATCAGGGAATAAGGATTATAATAAGTTCCAAACTGAACAGTGAGAGATCTTTGTTTATTAATATTTTTTTCAAAATGCCCTCAGAAATATAAAACGAAAGCTCATGAAAGGAAATACTAGAAAAAACTTAATTATGCTTAATCCTTGGGGTATAAAACTTAAGTTTAATTAAGCTAAACTTCTAATTTTCATGATATAACTGAAGCAAAATATCAAGGTTATTTCTTTTGTTAGACATGTTTGGTTAGTATTTTATATAAGGAACAAGCATTGGTTTCTGGCCCTTGGAAATTCAGTGGGAAAGTAAACCCTGAGAATGACTGTATTCCATTAAACAAATTGAGACATAAAATAATTACACCATGAATATTGAATGCTAAAGTCTATACTAAAAGATACCAGGGAGAGGTGAAAAGTTGTTTGGCATTTTTTTTTTTATTCAAAGGACAGAGTAACAGAGAGAGGGGAGAAAGAGAGATCTTCTGTCCACTGGTTCACTCCCCAGATGGGTGTAACAGCCAGGACTGGGTCAGGCAAAAGCCAGGAGCTTCTTCCAGGTCTCCTAGGTGGGTGGCAAGGGCCCAACCTCTTGGGCAATCTTTGGCTGCTTTCCCACACCATTAGCAGGGAGCTGGATCAGAAGTGGAACAGCTAGGAAAGGAACCAAACCCAGACCCAGAAGCGATGTCAGCATCAAAGGCAGTGGCTTAACCCACAACACCTACCCCAACTATTTTGCAGTTTAATTTGGTCTTAAAGAAAGGTAAATGTTCCAGGGCCGGCATTACAGTGTAGTAGATAAAGCCACCACTTGTGACACCAGCATCACATGGCCACCAGTTTGAATCCCAGCTGCTCCACTTCTGATCCAGCTCCCTGTTAATGTACCTAGGAAAGCAACTGAAGATGGCCCAGCTCCTTGGGCCCCTGCATCCATGTGGGAGACCTGGAATAAGCTGCCTTTTCCTGGCTTCAGATAGGCCCAGTTCTGGCCATTGCAGCCATCTGAGAAGTGAAGCAGTAGATGGAGATCTCCCCTTCTCTCTCTGTCTCTCCCTCTCTGTAACTCTGCCTTTCAAATAAATTAAAAAAAAAAAAGATAAATGTTCAATAGCCAAATGGTGAATGAGATGGTTTCAATGAGGGGAATAATTTGAGAACCTACTAAGGAAAGTATAGAGACCATTGGTGAAATGGAACATGTGGACTCTACAGTATAGAATAATAGTAGGAAATAAAACAAGAAATAAAATAGTGGGAAATAAAACAAGACTGAGAAATTACTTTTCAAATGCATTGAAAAGCTTAAAAAGGTAAAAGTAGTAAAAGATGTTTCATAGAAACTTTATAAAATAAATACTAGTAATTGTGAATAAGTAAATATTGGGTCTGGGAGAGGATATAAGAATATTCTAGTACAAGCAAAATGTTTATATGAATCTGAATTAAGTGCCATGGATCCTGAGAGGGAGAGATGAATAAATCAAGAGAATCCTTAGTACCTACAGGCATTTACTCTGTGACTACTTTTAGAGGTTATTTATCATTTCAACTATTCCAAGTAAGTAACTTTACAATTTACAGAGCCGATTAACTTAATCATGATGACATAGTCTTAAAGCAGTTAGGATGAGACTTTATCTCCAGACTGACTGATTTCCAAAGCCCGCCATTCCGATCTGTGTGATCTCTAATACCTAAGCTCATTGTACTGAATGTAGCATGAAAATTGGAGCCAAAAGTGACAGAGGTTTCAAGTACAGGGGTTGGGGCTTTGGTGCAGAAGTTAGGATGCTGCTTGACCACATCTCATAGGGGACTCTGTGGTTCAAGTTCTGACTCTGCTCTCCATTCCAGCTTCCTCTTAATGCACACTCTTCCAGGCAGCAGACAATGGCCCAAGTACTTGAGTCCCTACCATCCACATGGGAGATTTGGATTCATTTGAAGACACCCCACCCCCAAGCATTTGGAGAGTGAACTAGTAGACCAAAAACCGTCTCTCTGCCTCTCAATACGTATTATGTTACTGTGTATATGTTCTCTTAAAATAAATTCACTGTTTTGTTTTTTTTTTTAAAAAAAGCTATTAGAAGAGTTACTACTTCAAGATTAGACACAACTGCCACCTCTACCCAACCAATCCTGCCTCCTGCTAAGTATTCAGTTTTCAACAGAATCTCAAGAATGTTTCTTTTATTCATTGGCCCTTTTTAGATTCTTTAAGTGCTGTGTATTCTGTGATGAGCTAATTCAATCTTAACTCACTGCAGTCCTATTCTTTTATCAGGTGAACAATTTCCTGACAAGAAGCCGAAGGTGCAGTTAGTCATATCATATGAGGATGTGAAGCTGACCATACTAGTGAAACACATGAAAAACATTGTAAGTTTATTACATACACTAGGAAATAGGTAAATGCACATTTAGAAACCGTTCGCCTCGTTTGGACAATTGATGTCAACATTAATGAGAGGAATGGGTCTAGCAACCACGTTGAAGAAGGAACACCAAACCAATTACAATTCTTTTGTCTCAGTGTGATTGTGATCCTTGGGTAAAGACTACAAGGTACCTCATTTAATTTTCCTCTATGATTTTCCTTGTGAATTATGAGGGAAAAACTAAATCATGAAAGACTCAGAGAAGCTCATAGAGAAGATACCGGTATTAGGCACAGAATTCAAGTCAACTGTCCCCCAAACTCAGCAAGATGAGATGGAAGCAAACTCATCTGAAGCCAAAAAATTGTTAGCGTTTCTCCTGAAATTCCCATTGTACCTTGAGTTATATCATGGTTATCATATCCTATTATAATAGCTTACGCATATTTCTTTCCTCAAATGGACTTTGTTTTTTTAGAACAGAAGCTCCATCTTTGAATCATCCAAACCCAGAACAAAATTTGTAGTCAGATTCTAAGAAAAACTAAAAGCTGTACTTTGTTATATCCTAGTGAAGGCTGGGTCATATCAGAGGCAAAGATAGTAACTGAGCCATGTCATTAAGAAAGAGAGGGAGCTTTCCAAATCTCAGGGTTTGTGACTAATGATCTGAGTATGGGCACAGTACATGGAACCTAACCATGTTTTTCAATCCTCAAGTTTAGGCAAAATGGATCCTACATGTGGTGTATCTCTTCAGAAGACCTCAATGTAGTTAGAGAAAGTCAGTAACAACTTTGGCTCTTTTGCATATAAATCTCTCAGGCTGTGTTTGGAACACTGTAAAGGAAGAAATCATTCACATGAAAAAATTAAAATAAAAATTTCTTCACATATTTCTGGAGCATATTCGAACAAAATTTATTTAATGAAAATCATTGACATGATTTCCAGAGGACAACTTGTTACAAATTTAGTACTGGCCAGACATCCAAGGATGCTTATTTGTTAATCTGTGATATTCACCATCAGAAGTTCCTGTAATATCTATATAGTGTTCAGTTTTCTGATCTTTTACTTATGATAGTATTTTTCATTGCTTCTGATATCACAACACCTTAAATGAGAATAGCAGTTGTTTAGAATGCTCTTACATTGGGAAATGAAGATTCAATTAGTTGTTATTTATGGCCACAGCATGCTCATGGACTTTAAGCATGACAAACTGTAATATTACAAAATATGGTTAATCAAGTTAGCGGAACTTATATGTATATGATTTATGATTGTTAGCTTTAAAAACAGTCCCCTTAGAAACTATATTTCAGTGATGTTGTCATTATTCAAAACATCTTAGAGAATGCCTATTGAGATTTCTCTTAGATCCAAAATATAAACTGCAGAGTAAGCTAAATGATATTACTCAAGGGTCATGCCCTATTTTTGATCAAAAGCAATATTAACCAACTTGGCCACCCATTTCATTCACCAGATGAACCCTCAAATTACTTTTGACAGCTTTCAAAAATGCATTTTACACTCAAATGAGGTTGCACTACCAAGGAGGCTATTCACAACCAATGTGCAGGAACGAAAGATGGGGAATGAGTAAGAGCCAGCAAGAAATTCAGGTCGAGATCAGGTTATGAGTAAATGACCAATGATCAGGTGAATTCTCTAAAATGCATGCAACTACTCAAGGTCTATCTACTGCCACTGTCTTCAACCTAAAATGGCGTTAAATAATGTAATTTTTTTCCAGTTTAACTTCTCAGTCTACTTGATGGTTCTTCTCTTCTCAGTCTCTTACCATTGAAATATTTCAGTGCCCTGAAAATCAGTCCTAGATCTCTTCTCATCTTTTCTCTCTAATCTTATGGCTATGCTCATAAATATCACTGTCTTTTCCTTCCACATCTGCAACTCCACCCTAAAATCCTCAAAATCTACTAGACAGGTAATAGGCATTTTTTTAACTTTTATTTAATGAATATAAATTTCCAAAGTACAACTTATGGATTACAATGGCTTCCCCCCATAACGTCCCTCCCACCCGCAACCCTCCCCTTTCCCTCTCCCTCTCCCCTTCCATTCACATCAAGATTATTCACCAGATCAAATTTCTGGTGACCCTCCTCCTAGGCTTGCTTCTTCTGCAGTCCTCCTCAGTACACAGCATCTTCATCTTTGTCGTTACTCAGATTAAGATCACTTGAGTCATCGTGTTGACCCCTCTGATAAAACAGATGTAGTTTGTCAGCAAATTCCATCAGTGTGCTTTAAAACTAAATCCAGAACCCCCTCCCTTTCCATCTCCATCACTGCCACCATGGTTTCAATCCAGCATTATCTCTTACCTGAATTGTTGCTGCGGCTTCTTAACACTACCTCTGCCTTTATTTCTTGACACTCTTTTCCTAACCTGATAGAATATCCCTTTAGGGATACAGCTCAGATTTTGCAATCTTCTCTTCATACCTCTTGGAGGAATGAATCTCATGTCATTTGCAATGACAGTTGAGGTATCTATCAGTGACTTAGAGACCTCAGCCAGCTGATCCCTTTGCCCTCCCTAATGTCACCTCATCCTATCACAGATTCCGCTTTCACTCCACCCTAGCTTCCATCAGCAACTTTCTTGCTGTTCCTTGAAAACTGCAGGCATGCTGCTACCCCAAGACCTTTGCATCCACTTAGCTTTTGTTCTACCTATTCCATGAATACAGAATACTTTCTCAAGCCCATGGCTCATAGTTCCTGAGCATACATGCTCTCTTGTCAATGAAGTCCTCTCTGATTTCCATATGTAAAACTACAACTTCTTTTATTTGTCTCTTCCAATCTTTCTTTCCTGCTTTTTTTCCTTCTGCCTTATATCACTGCTATTACCCAAGTCTAGGATAAGGCTATGTACAGATCAAAGTAGCTGTTCAATACAAGATTATACTTCAGTGAGAACTAGATTTTTCTCACCTCCTAAAAAACATCCACAGTTCTCATGAACTTCATTTTCACCTCTTTTTAAAACATAACTGTTTCATCTGCTTATCTGAAAATAGCATTTTAATATAAATGACATTAAAAACCATTTATAAATTCTGAACCTATTTCCTTTGCTCATTTCAAGTTTCAGCTAATTGTTATTTATTTTTTGAGCCATGAGTACATTCACATGCCAAAGTAATCAGACTAAAGAAGTCGTGCTTGATTTTTCATTAATATTAAAATGAATTATGCCTACAGTTCTGTTATATTTAATATTAAGTTTGATGAAAAGAATTGTTTATCTTATATTAAATCTTTGAAGCTTTGCTCAAAGAATTACTTCCCTCCTGTGAGATCAGAAGCTGAAACAAAATTGCTAAAATTCTCAAAGCAGCACAATATGATTTACTTTGGTGAACAGAGATTGACAAAGCACTACAGTTATTTAAGAGCTTGGCCAATATTCTTTTAAACTTATGTTTTATTTTGATATAACAATGAAGCATATAGAAATCATTGAATTTGAAATATTTTTAAAAACTTAGCACTTTCTCATGTATCCCATGTATCTGTTTTCACTTGAGTTTATAGATTTCCCTTGTCTATATCATTCTAGGCCATTTTCTTCTTCTACTGTGGAATGTGAGTATTCCAGAAGGTTCTAGAAATGATCAATAAGATAAGACTTTCTACTGATAGACTCTACCCACAGTGGCAGTCTCATACTATAGAAGAATAAAATTTAAACATTTAAAACAAGCAAATGATATAAGAAACAAAACCCTCAGTTGTACTATTTTATTTTTTCACAATCCATGAAATTAAAAATAGTCATACAAAATGAACAGAGGGGAGGGAGGGAGAAACAGTCAAATAAAAGAACCCCAGACTAGACAGACTGACACACACACTTTATTATTAATTAATGTGTATGAGTATAGTCTAAGAGTTTGTATTTTTTAAATGATTTATTTGAAAGGCAGAGTTTAACAGAGATAGAAAGACAGAGGTCATCCATCTGCTGGTTCACTCCCCAAATGGCCGCAATCAGCAGAGCTGGGCCAATCCAAAGCCAGGAGCTTCTTCCAGGTCTCCCATGTGGGTGGCAGGAGCCCAGACACTTGGGCCATCTTCCACTGCATTCCCAGGAGCATTAGCAGGGAGCTGAGTCCCAAGTGAAGAAGCTAGTACTCAAACCAGCACCCATACTTTACCAGCTATGCCACAACACCAGCCCCCGTCTGAGGGGTCTTATTTTCAAGATGTAACTTCCTAACAACCTGCAACTTCTGTTCTGCAAGTTTGTGTCACGACATCTGCTTCTCTGCTCACAGGATTCTTGGTCTCAGATTCTCCTTATCTCCACGTCTAGACTTATTTTCCTCTCTTTTGCTGTAAAATGAGCCTTCCAGAGGTTCTCTAAATAAGGTCCATGGATGACTTGCATCAGAGAGACATTTCCCAGGTGGCTAGTTGCTACACGAATAGCCTTCTACATCCAAGTTTAGTACTTGGCACCAAGTGGATTGTTTGCTGTTGGAGTAGAACAGAGACAGTACTTGGACTTTAAGATTGAGGATGGTGAAAATAAGGCAGAGAAAATGGTAACATTTGATCCATGAAAGTAAAATCTTTTAAAAGTAACTCAGCTCGCCGGCGCCGCAGCTCAATAGGCTAATCCTCCACCTAGCTGCGCCAGCACACCAGGTTCTAGTCCCGGTCAGGGCGCTGGATTCTGTCCCAGTTGCCCCTCTTCCAGGCCAGCTCTCTGCTGTGGCCCGGGAGTGCAGTGGAGGATGGCCCAAGTACTTGGGCCCTGCACCCCATGGGAAACCAGGAGAAACACCTGGCTCCTGCCATCGGATCAGCGCAGTGCATCAGCCGCAGCGCGCCAGCCATGGCGGCCATTGGAGGGTGAACTAAGGGCAAAGGAAGACCTTTCTCTATCTCTCTCACTGTCCACGCTGCCTGTCAAAAAACTCAGCTGAGCCCTCTGTCCTATTTGTTTCAATTTTC